TCCCGCTCGGCATACACCCACCCCCCCCAGGTAAACACCCCCCCCCCCCCGCCATCCATCCTACCCCCTCCCCTCTATTCATTGCTTCCTACTTTGCTAGCTGCCTTTCTCCACTCGCCCGGCTGAGGAGGTAGATCAAAAAGGAATCTTTTCCCCGCTCACGCACGGAGCAGGTGGGGGGAGGCGGGCAGGGAGGAGGAAGGAGGCAGCGTTCAGGACTGGACGGCTGCAGGTGAAGCAGGCCTGACTGCTCGGAATCAAATCCTGTGTAAGGTGTACGGGAAGGGGGCGGGCGTTCCTTTCCCTCCCAAGGCCTGTAGATGGCGCTCTCCGGTTTGTTTTTTGTCTGCGGCTCCAAACTGATACACATCAACTTCTATCGCAGGGAGAAAGTTTCAGATTAACCGGATTTGAACTTAATCCGCCACCCAGTAGCCGCAGCAAATATTAGCAAATGGCTGACAAACCTCTGACACTCACCGGCCAGCGCTGGACAGAAGGAAAGGGAGCGGGGGGAGAGGGAGACAGACTGATAAACACACACAATTACAAAGACATTTGCCATGAACTCTTCCCCCCTCCAATAACTTCGGTTTGCATTGCGGACTGGGAAAGCCAGTAACTGTCCTAGCTGTAGCCCGCTTGCTCCCAGTCTGATAGCTCCTTTCCCTGACTACCCCGCCCCAGGGGCCTCCGCTGCTAGGGGACAACCTGGACCAGATTAGCGCTTCGGGGAGTCCTTTGGGGGGAGCTTCCTCGACGCAGATGCTCTTGGGGCGTTATAGCGCCTGGTTGTGTGTTAATGAGACAGCAACTTTCCTCGGGTGGGGCCGGGGGAGGAGAAGACGAATTTCCCCCCAGCCTGCGGGAGTTGTCACTTTGACTCTGTTCCCCTACTACAGTCCCCGCATTAGCAAAGGGGTCCAGGAACCCGCAATGACTCTGGAGCCGCGTCGGTGCCAGCGGCTCGCCCAGTTTAACGAAACCAGTGTCTGATCCAGTTAAATCGGGCCAATGTTCCCATGTGGACAAGGAAGCCTTTTGCTTCCCCAAGAGGGGAGGAGATAATCTCAGAGAGCTCCCCCACCCCGCATATCGCACCGTCACCTGGCGCCCGTTCCCTCCCCACGGCTTCCTGGAAGATTTGCTTTGTCAACATTCAGATCCACAGAACAATTTCTATTTGCGGGCGGAGGGGGGAATATCCAAGACCACAAGGATCTCTGAGAATATTCCCCGCGCACGCTTAATAATTCGAGATCAGGAACAATGCAAGATCTGCTGGGAGCTCCCACTCTTCTTTTTAGGTGAACCCCCCAAACTCGGCTCCCATGCGGTCAGGCTTGGCTGCTTTTTCCCGTCCGACTTTAAATGAACCTTTCTGTCTCTTTCTTTCTTTTTTTTTTATTCCAGAGAGAGTCTCTCCCCTTCCCCTTATCCCCCCCCCCCAGCTAGAAACATTTACACTTCAAAAGAGGCGACCGCCTCTCTGCGGAAATTTAAAGAAAAATAAACTTTTGGAGGAGTTGAGGTGATACCGATCTTTGGATTTGCTTCATTAGCTGCCTTTCGCCGACTGATCAAGCCCAAATCTTTGCTATTGATCCCACTCGCCCCCCCACACACCCTAATGCTCTGCTCAGCTCCCCTCAAATTTTCGCTGAATGCTCTGGGGCTGTTCTTCAGACTTGGCAGGTTTGTATTCGCTCTTGGAAGGGAGTGAATGAAATGTTAGTTTTAACAACCGCCTCTTCCCAGTCCCGCAAAAGTGGGGAGCGGAAGCGATTTCCGAATCTGAAAGCGGGGGAGGGGGAGGGGTAGTGGGAATTATGATCCGGGCCTTTTTGTTCATTTCTTTTTAGGATTCGGGCCTATTTAAAAAAATGATTTTGACTGAGATCATTACGTCCAAAACCATAGCCCGCACCCATGTTGTCTGGTCGTTTTATATACATATCTATAGGGTTGGAAAGACGCCGAATCTACTGCTACAGAATTGGGTTGTTGTGGGGACAATTCTCATATTTATGTTATCTAAAAATGTTGCTAACTCCTGAGCGTCACAAAATCATTTTTTTCTTTTTGCAGGCTTGTGAAATGATTCATTCTAAATAAACTTCGTTTTTAGGTGGTTTATTTCAGGCCCCCCCCCCCACACACACACTTATGATTTTACATTAAAATCCACCCTGGCTATCCCCCCCTCCCAAACTCTGCAAACTCCTTTCACCCCAAGTGGGTCAAGAACCTTATTCCCAAGGAAGAAGAAAACCCGATCCTGTAGGTTGCTTCTGGGGAGAGTCAATTTGGAGGAAGGGAGTTGCCTCAAGGTGAGGTGTTTGAGGGTTTATGAAACCATTATGTGACTACTTGGATTTGATCCCCCGAGTTAGAGTCTGATTTGAGGGGGTAGGGATGAGGATACACCTTGGATCTGTCCTTGATACCCCCCGCGGCCCGCATACCCCTCACACATGCGCGGGAACTCCCAAACGCAAAACTTTTTGTCTGATTTCTCCTCTTTCTTCCCAACAACCCAACTAGGGAGCTGCGCTCGGAGGGATTTTTTTTGGCGGGGGGAGGAGAGTATTGCATTCAAGAAATTCCGAAATTTAAGGGCGGCTCAAAGGGAGGACTCCGGACTTCAGGAGAGTTCGAGCAGAGAAGGGGCGCTGGGAGAGGAATTAGGGGGTGCTGGTTAAAGTCCCTGGCGCTCTCTCGCTCACACCCCGAAATCGGTGCATCGGGGAGACAAGAGGCCACTGCTTTTTTCCTTTCCCTTTTGAAATAAAGTTAGCTTCAAACGAACAATTAAAAACGCCTAATATTTGTCTCGGCCCCTCCCTCTGTGTGTCTCCGAGCCCCCCTCTCTCTAAGCACCTCTGGTCACGTTGGAGGATGAGCTTTTTGGAGAGCTTCTGGTACAATATGGAGCACCATGGGCTGCAATTTCACACTCCACAGCACATTCCCCCTAAAGCTACTTTCTTTCTTTTTCTTTCCCCCTCCCATCTAAGACCCCCTCGTTTCTCCCCCTCTCTCTTTCTCTCTTTTGTGACTCATGGGTGGGTTCCATGTCTGGGGGACAGGCTCCTTGGGCATCCTGGCACTGGGCAGAAAAGGAAGGAAGGGGCTTTGCTTTGCTCCTTTGCTCTGTCTGCCGCTGCTACTGTTGGCTTTCCCCTCTCTGCATTTGTTTGCCCTGAATGGTAATAGCCCACGTGTGCTGCTCTTTATTCAGTAACCGACACTTTAACCTCTCCTCTTTACAAGAGAGCGTTTGCCACAAAAACGAGACAAGCCGGAGACCTTTTACAGCCTCATTGAGAGGGGGTGGGGGGAAGAGCCAACATTGTGGAGAGACTCTTTTGCAACAAAGCCACCTCTTAGCGCACCGTGCGGGCCGTCCAGAGCTGGAGGCAGACCCTGGCCAGGGTTGAAAAAACACGGCAAGTAGTCTCCCAGGCCATGGACATACGGACAGCCTTAATGCAAACATGCGTGTATGGATATAACCCCCTCCTAAGCATGCCTCCAGAAAGCAGAAATACATGCCTGCGTGCACAGCACCAACATGCAGGCACACAGACTGCAAACCTGCATACAGTCTGCAGATAATAATACTATGCACATACACCACCAAACACACGTGTGTACAGACAGACTGTACATATTCATGCACGTGTGCACCTCGTCATGGTGCATGCATGCAGATGGACTGCAAACATCCATGCAAACACACCACCAATATACCGGCACACGGACCGATGGCAAACATGCAGGCAGACATCACATGCATGTGAGACGTGTGCTGACGTGATCACGTGTGTACTTAGCATGACTGCGGTGACATGTTTACAGATAACAGACATACCTGCAAAGAGACTGCAAACTTGCATGCATCTAGACAGACACCTGTCCTGCCTGCACATACATACAGAAAACATGCATGCAGAGGCAGACAGCATAGCCACAGTCAGAACGCTGTGGGATTTGGAGATGTAGGGATAAAACCCTGCCGGATCTCTCATATTTCCCCTGAATATCAGAATATTTGAAATCCTAGTTCATTTCTTCTTTCCCTGGGGACATAGGGGGAACGGAGGGTGATTCTTAATAGGTATGTGCGGGGAGAGAGAGGTGGACACTGCTTGGCTGTCCCAGACAAACTGGGTCCAAATGTACCTTGATTTTGGCATGGAGCTCTGGGAGCCATAAAGCCGGCCTGTTCTGGGTTTCCCTTTGCTCCGGGCAGAAGGTAGGGGTAGGGCCTGGGATTCCCCCCCCCCCCCACCCCCAGCTGGAGATATTTTTTGTCCTCCTCTAATTTCTCCATAAAACTCCAGATGAGTGAATTAGACGCTTTTTAAAGTCTCCTTTTAATCAGCGCTAAGGGGAGACCCTCCCTCTGTCCCCTTCCTCTCTCCTTCTCTCTCTGCCCGTCCAAGGCTAGTTTGCCTTAGGGCCATTTATAAATGTTCGGATTTACAGTTCTCTCACACACAAACCCATTTCTATAACCCCGCTATAATGCACCCATAAAACGGGGAGAGAGCGAAAAGTGCTGCGGATCAGCGAAAACCCCTTCGCTCTCCCATTAAAGTCCCTGGAAAGGGTAATTCCAGCAGTCCCAGGGGCCGAGGTGGGTAATTACTGCCTGGAATTCATTTCCAAAAATCATCTCATAAAGAGACCTGAGGACAGAAAGGCAGCGACTGCGTCCGGCACCACAGCCGGTTCCCCATGTTACAGGGCCAGACGGGCAAGTTTGGTGGAGACTTCTTCACACTCGTAAGAAAGTAACATATTTCCCAGTAACTGCCCTCCCTCCCTCCCTCCCTCCCTTTCTTTCTTTCTTTCTTTCT